AAATCTTAAGTTAGAGGTCGATTTTCGAGAATAGGTGTTTAATAAGGGGCATTGCACCAATCATCGCACAAAAAAAAAGATCTCAATGAGGACAATCATAATAATCTCATTGTGAATCGTCTCTTTGTAGCATTTATGATTCGAGTGATTAAGTCTACAAGGGTTTAAAACCTGATATCCTATATTCATCTGATTTGGGAGTCATCGGCCTAAAGCTTGCTATAGGGGTCATTTAAAAAACTTAATGGAGAGACGTCCGTACAAAGGATGATTAAAGAATAAATTTATATCAAAAAAATGGACATCACATGCATTGATTAAGCCCTAAACACTTGTTTGAGAGAATTAGGAGGTTGAAGCAGTAAAAAAAAATAAGGAGAATCCTCATTTATTGATAAGTTGAACTACAATTAGTAAAATCTAACCAAACCTGAGCGGTGTAACAAACTAGTATTGAAAATCCACCTTAGATTATACCATTGGGAATAGAAAAGAAAACAAGTTTGGAGGTGTGTGAATCCCACGAGCGAAATAAGGAAATATTTGACTTTTAAAGTCGGGAATTGAATCAACTTATTATTGTATAACATTGCACTTAACTCTTCACACACACACACACACACACCCCTGTTTTGCATTGAATATGTAAGAATTCAGCTTGTGCATTATAACTTTGAAGTGATTCACGACATCAATGCTATTTTTTTAATTCTGGGCTATAAAAGGAAGATATCTAGCTTGTAGGTTTTAATTGAGTTCATGTGTTTGTTTGTTATTCTCTTTAGTTTGTGTTTGCTCGAAGACAAGCAAAATATTAAGTTTGGGGGTATTTGACGAGTGCTCTACACTCATAATATTTATGCCACCTAATTTGTTATTTTGCTACTCTTAAGAGTGTTTTAGAGCTTTTTATTCTGTGTTTTGATATTGTGATGTAAGTTGATGAAATTGAAAGAAATAAGCAAAAGTTGGCGAAATTAGAGAAAATGGCTAAATTGTAAGAGATCCAAAGTTCGGGGACTAAAGTGCAAATATTGAAAAGTTGTGTTGAACCTCGATCTAAGAGTGCTAGCAGTCAATTGGATAAAAAAGATATCAAAGGGATCAAATTTAATCAAAATATGATCACAAATCAATTTCCAACCAAAAAGTTATGCCTCGGAGTTTCAGCCTCATATTGGGACCCATTTTTATCATAGCAAACGATCAATTTGAAGAATGATGCTTGAAGCAAAATTGTAACCCTTTGAGTTAGCTTTTCAATGCATTTTGAATCATCTCAATTGGATATCGGATGCAAAAGTTATGCTAAAAATACTGAATGATATGCAGTCTGCCATTTTGACCGAACCGAGTGTCGTAGCGCCCATCTTGGGCGCCACAATTCCCATATGACTGAAAATTAACAGAATAGGCGGCACCGCAATGCCCATATTTGGCACCAAGGAGCCGGATATGCGGGAAAACACGTTTTTATGTTTTTGGACTCTTTTATTGGCCCAATTCAACCCTATTTCGTCCAAGACCCCTAACATACTATAAGTACCATTCAAAAATCCTATTTTCAAGGAGGATGGAAGGGGGAAAGATTGAAGAATTTAACCACAAAATTTGAAGGGAAAAAATTGAAGACACCAAAAGGAAGGATAAACAATATCAAGGAAGAAGATTGAAGATCTACCCAAAAGTCTAGTTTTTTCTATCATTTTCTTTATGTTGTTTATTATAATTCCTATGATTTTCATTTATTATACCATGAATTAAACAATTTATCTAGGGGTTTGATGTATCCGAATCAAAATTATGGTTTGATGATTTTATAATTATTTCTTTGATTTTCAAGCATATATTTAATTGTATCATGATTTTAATGCTTTCAATTGCCTGATCAACAATTGGATGATTTGATGCTAGTCAATTCCGGCGCTCGAGAGAGTGGGAATTTAGGCTTGATCATAAGAGTGATACAACATAGAATTTATAGGTTTCGAGAGAAAGTATAAATCTGTGAAGCTTCCTCCATAAAAGAATCGGATCTTTATTAAATTCTTGATTTTCAATTTTGAACAGAGATGTTAGAATTGGGATCTAGGGTTAGTTTCTAATCGGTGCTCAAGAGAGGGGTTTAGAAATACATTAGGATTCAATCATACATTCATCTAAATAAAGTAGAAATTGCATAATTATAGTACTTAGTGAAAATTAAATACAATCCCCGTAGGTTCGATGCTCTTACTTCAATACTATATTACAAAACTTGATACCGTACACTTGCGGTTAATCCACGTAGAATAAAACGCAAAGTTTGACCATTTCTTTAAAAGAATAGCCTTTTCCAATAAATATTCCATTTAGGAATAATACCAAATTACTGGATTTCTAAAATATATTTTGTGCTCGATTTTCCTAAAAGATTTCCATTAACTAAGTTCCTATCCATATCGAGAACATGTAGCACATTGGTCAAGGTAACGGTCATGCCGGAAGTGAATATGATCGCTATATTTCATTTCCCAACCACCTTTGGAGCGGTTTTTGTTACCCATTTATCCACTTCATAATAAGTTTTGATAAAGACTTATCATATGTTACATTTATAATTGCACATGTATCATACTACCATCTATGAACTTTTTCTTTGATTCCATTAATCTCTCTTACGGTGGCCACAATATTATTTTCTTTGATAGAGTTCACCTTTCTTTCGGAGTTGTTTTGTTTTTGGTGTGATATTCCTTAGTATAATGTCCAGATTCCCCATAAACAAAACAACCATCTTTGAAATACTTCTTGGACTCGTTAAAATTCTTTGAAAGTTTTCTCTTGTTGAATTGTTTGAAGGTTCAGTTTTCTCTATCGCATTTGCCTTGGAAGTGCCTTTATAAGAATTGTCATTCTTATCTCCTACCATTGACTTTTCCTCAATGCGAAGATATTTCTGCAATTGTTCCAAAGAGTGATTTTTGGAACTATGCATGATTTTCTTTCGATATCATTTTTAAGTTCCCGGGTGTTTTGTAATAATTGCTCCGACTTGTGAAGTTCCCAGAATCTCAATTTTGACCACTTTCAACTTGTTGACAAAAACTTGTAATTCATGTAATTGGGAAAGAAATGGAATATTATCAAGAAATTTAAAATTAAAATATCTTGAAATTAAGAATTTCTTGGTATCTTCTTCTTCTTCTTCGACTTTGTATTTGTTTTCCAAACCATCCCATGTTTCTTTTTGTCGAAGATGTGTTGGTGTAGAATTCATACAACCAGTCTGATAATATATTGAGTACTTGACCGAGGTAAATCAATTCATCATCTTGATGCTTTTGTCTTTCGACTCTTATGGCATCAATTTCTCCATGAGTTGGTAGTAATGGTGGCCAATCCCGATCAAGGATGTAGAACATCTTCAATGCTGTCAAAAGGAACTTCAATTTATCTTGCCATATTGTGAAGTTCGTTCCATTGAAGCAATCTAAATGAACTAGGTCTTGATTCATTAACTTGATCGTCGTCCTAATAGTTTCATTCTCCATTGTAGAAATATCGTTTGAAATTATTGGAAAAATGGTTTACACACAAGGGAATGGAGAAGAAACAAAGAACAAATAACAAGAAGAAGAAATTGAAGAAGAAGGCTCAAACACGTAATTATTGTCCTTAAAAGATATTTTTTCCCTCTTGGATTGAATTTAATGCTTAAAGGGATTTTGATAAATGGTTTGTAAGATTTATCAAAGCACTTAGTGAAAATCCTCCAAAACTTAATAACACAATTTAAAGTATGAATATGATAGAAGGAAGATTTTGATTCTTTTGTGGAATGAAAACAATGATCACAAGTTGTTTTTGTTGTTTTTGATGTGTTTATATTGATCATCTAGCTACCATTTTAGGCATCAACCAATGTTACACGAAGTGATGCCAAAACGTATGAAAGGCCACCTCAGGTTCAAACAAAAACGGCCAGTGAAAATGTTCTATGCAGTCGCATAAAACAAACCTATGCAACCGCATAGATTATCTTATGGCAGGGCTTAAGGCCCGGCAAATACCTACACGACCGCTGGCCCTTTTGGTTTTTGTGGTCGCATAGGCCAACTTCTTGGCTTTTGTTTTTCATAACTATTTTTATTTTTATTCCAAACGCAATTTATTGATTTTGAACAATTTACATCATAGACTTGGCCATCAGTATCCAATGATTAATTCTGCTGGTGTAAAAGGCAGAACAATTAACTTAATTAAAAATTAACTAATCTCAATTATTGAAACAAACAACTGTATACTACTCAAAGCTGTGTAACAAATGACCAATCAATGAACAGATTAATATCTCTGCTTACGTAATTAGGTCCATAATATAATAATTTGTCCTATAGAAGACATAGGAAACTCCACTTATGAATATTGTTAGGTCTACGTAATTAAATGGACCCAAATGCTTTAAAAATCGTTTAGGTAGGGCCTAAATTAATATGAACCACAAACGGAAAGCCATCGAATTTAATCACTCCAGGTGATGAGCCATGGTACTAGATCTTGATTTAGATACATAAAATGCCGTCTCCACAAAGACGAAATAGTTTAACAAAGTATAATAATATATGAAAGTCATGGAATTAAGTTTCATCATCACACATTTATGAAAATTATGCACATATATGAATATATTTAATGAATTTTTTTCTTCATGCGTGTTCGATCTTATAATAAGGTAGTATGTACGTAACGGTATCCTGTTTATGCAAAGTTCGACCAAATAATAGGATAATTTGTGCTCAAATTTTGAAAATCAAATTATGTCAATACATTAGAGACGTGTTGAAGCTAAAATTCTAATATATCAGGCGTAAAAAATTAATAAACCAAAATTAATTCATTGGGGACAAATAGTAGGAGAACATGTGCACAAGTTTTGTTCAAGACATGACTAGAAAATGTATAAAATAGAAATATGATGTATTGCCTTCTTTTGCTCTGCATGGGACACTCGAGTTGCTTATTCTCACCCAAGTAGCTTAACCTTTCCATGAAGGGTTACAATAAATTTCTTTTCTCTCTCCACCTTTTAAATATTAGTAGGAAGATTAATGCTCCAATAATATTTACTGAGAGAGGTTGAGACAGAAACAATATTCTGAGAGACAGAGAAGGAAGCGCGGGGATGGGTTTCACATCATTTATAGGCGAAGTTGTGCCGTCTACGGTGATGGTGATTATGGAGGGTTGCACTATTGGCTTGACTATATTGGCTAGCACTGTGATGGCCAAAGGGCTCAGCCCGTTCGTTTTTGTTGTCTACACTAATGCCATTGGTTCTATCATACTACTTCCGTATTCCTTCATTTATGATAGAAATACGTATGATATTTCTCTCTTATTCACATAGACTTAGATATCTCATATTTCTTGAAACTATGATTTCGTTTAATGGGATTTAATATGAAATCAATCAGACGGATCATTTTTTTCAAACACACGATTGCATACATGCTAAAGCTTTAAGTAGTGCCAAGCCAGACAATTCACATCAATATTTCTCTCTTTCCAGATTAAAAATGCCATTATTGACCTTACCTTTTCTCTTGCGAGTATTCTTCCTCGGTTTAATTGGGTACGTATTCTCTCATGTTTGATATACAGTACAAACTATTTTCATCTATTTCTTTGTTTTTGCGCCTAATAAGGACACAATATGAGATAAAATCACAAATATATCATGTTAATAATACAATGATCAATAAATTCGACTATTTATACATTATTATTTTGTTGGAACATATTTTCCAGGGTGACAATGGCACAAAACCTTGCATTTCTTGGTCTAAGATACAGCTCTCCAATTGTTGCAATTGGCATGGCCAATCTGTTACCTGCTTTATCTTTCCTTCTTGCTTTAATTCTCAGGTTCTTTCTCAAACTTAAACTTTTCGAGAACAAGCAAATTTACTAATTAAGATTTTATTTAAGCTTGTTTTGCTTGTAATTGGAGCTTGACGTGAGCACAATATTTTTCATAAATGAATGACAACGAGACTTGAATTCAATACTTTTATCTTTATGATATTATATTCAAATGTTTCTCGTCTAAAATTTATAAGACTAGAGAATGAACACATTTTTTCTAGAAATTTAATATTCATAACGAGCCATTCACATACATCCCATATCCATTTTTTCCCCATCAAAATGCATGCAGTACTCACAAATTTCCCAAAGTAATTGATGGCAATGGGATTTGAACTTAAAACATTTACCTACTATGTCAAAATTCTCCTTGTCTGAAAAGTTGGATTGTTTAAATTTAAACTTCAATGTTTAATTAGATTGTTCCTATTTTCATCTTATTCTTCTGAGTCAGGTGGGAACTGTCAAAATATACCCACAAGTGATGAAAATAGTCTCTTTTTATAGCTTATTTGGAACAATCCAATCTGCTGTACTTGCTGCGTTTATAGAAAGAGATCCCACTGCATGGACATTGGAGCTTAATTTGGAGCTCTTTGTAATCATTCTAACAGTAAGAATAAGTCTAGTTTTGAATTAATTATTGATTTTTCCATGTCAAAAGATGTATATAGTCATATAGATACAGCTAACATGTGTATGTATATATTACAGGCAATTTTCAGTAGCTTGATCCGTAGCAGTGTCCACATGTGGTGCATGCGAATTAAAGGCCCTTATTTTGTGCCCATATTTAAGCCATTGGGAATTCCCATTGCAAGTGTATTTGGCTGTTTTCTCTTTGCAGACACCTTTCACTATGGAAGGTAAAAGTTTCTCTACTATTTGAAGATACTTTCCATTCCAAATTGAGATGATAGATAAGCCTTCTTCCCAATAAATTTGAAATCATTAAATCGAATATTTTTTTCATCACTCCATTTGGTTTATTGCTAGATGCAATGGAAAATCAGAAGTAAGCAGATTCATAACAAATATCAGCTACAACTGCCTGTCTACCTCTCACTCTTTTAGCTTGTTCAATTGAGAGGATCATGTACTCTATTGAAACCATCACCTAATTCTCAATTCCCTTAGCACATATTTGGTATGTCGTACATAATAGAGAGGTTCAACACTATAAGAAATAAGATTTTCATAACTTTTGTTTTCTTTTCTTAATACTGTTCATTGACACATGTTTCTTCTCGTCATTTTAGTATCTGTTAAGCCAAATGCACCTAAACATGTTGCAAACAAAGGAAATTGCTATTTATTACTACAATGTCAATATATCATATGATGCTGTCTATATCTTTTTTCTTCCGTTGAAAAATCGACACTATTAAGAAAAACGCTTTTTTAAGAGATTTTATATCTTACATGGTATTTATTCTTGCAGCATGATGGGTGCATTTGTGTGTGGAATGGGATATTACACGGTGATATGGGGACAAGTCAGAGAGGATGATGAATTTCACAATAACAGATCATCATCAGATGACAAGGTCCCTCTACTGCAAGAAGACTCACAAGTATGACATCAAGGAAATCAAAACCCTAATGATGGGCTGCAGCCATCAAAGAAAGTCCTACTAGCATGAAAAAAAACCTCATGCAAGGTTAAGATTTTTCATGTGAATAAAATGTACATAAGATTAGAAGGGTGGGTTTTTTAGGGCCCTCAATCTTTATTTGAGCAATCCTCATATCTTGTTTTGGGGTTCAATGCACATATCTGTAACTTTAACAATACATGGGCCTTTTTCCTTTCTTTTTCGAACCTAAAAAATGATGCATTTTGAGGTAAAAAATTCTCATGGCATGTTTGGGAGGACGAGATACTAGTGAACATTATTAATGTAAAAAAAAAAAATAAGTCAATGTAGTGTCTTGTCATGTTTAATCTATGTACTAAATCTGCACTTATGTGCTTCATTCTTAATTTTTATTTTTTTTATTTTAATTATGAAAGGTGGTCTGTACCATGAGAAAGTTTGTAAGAAGAAATTGCATATATATTTATTCGAGTAACCATGTTGTGTATAGTTGTCATTCATGTTCTGATGTAGTAAGCTTGAAATTTCAGTATAGCATTTATTATCAAAAACTAATTTGGGTAAACATGATAAGTATAATAACTATAGAGGTGAATCATAAGTACAAAAAAATGTCAAAATATGTTAAGAATATAAACTATGAGACATTTTTATCAGATTTCGAAAAATAAAAATGTATCAGATAAATAGTTTAAGAAACCCATTGAGCAATTACTATTACAGATGGAGGTTGACATCTTGTAAATCAATGAAAGCAACCCTTGAACCGCAACCTTATATCTTCTAACATACAAACATATAGGAAGTGGAAAGAAGTCTTATTGGAAGAGGATGCGGATTGTTTTTCCTTTTCAAATATAAAGCATGTTTGGCTAAGTGTAAATTTTTTACTTATAGCTAAATAAGTAATTTTCAAATAATTAACTTGTTTATCAGTTATAGTAGAAAATAAATAAGTTACTAATTTCGACAAAAAGTGGATAGTGCGAAAGTATGTAAAATTTCTTACTTAAAAGTAAGAAAAACTAACGCGATCAACCATGTTTGGAAACAAAACGTTTTAATTTTAAGTAATATTTTTTTAAAGGTTAGCCAAACAAACTCTAACCTCATACCCACCATATGTCATTCAAAGGTAAACAAGTACTACCCACTTTTTTCCTTTCTTGCTCATTCTTTTTCTTCAAGTGAGACGTTCAGGTTGGTAAGGGGTGTGGATCGAGTAAAATGTTCGGGGCTAAAAAAAATAAATTAATATTAATAAATTAAATTAGACTTAAAAATTTCGTTTTTACTTAAGAAAAAATTTTACTACCTCAAAAAAAAAAAAAAAAAAAAAAAAAAGGCCGAATAAATGCGGCGAAGCCAATTTTTAATACTCTACAGCTTTCTAGCTGGGGTTCAGTCCCCTTAGCTGATCATGTTTGAGTATGAGGAAATTAGATACGATATCCTAAAAAAAGAATGAATAGATTAATATACTTAAATCAAATTAATGTTTTAATAACCGTATTAATTACGTCAATTTAAAACATATTTGCCCATGTTTGAGCCAAATTCTAGAAAAAAATGCATTGTTCATGTCAAATCAATGAGAAATGTGTAGTTCAAAAATAAGAAAAAGTTTTAGATTTACGTGTAATATTATTTTATTAAAGAATTTGTGATTGAAATGATATCAAATCACACTTGAATAATGTATTTTTTTTTTGAAAATAATGTGGCTCAAACAAGCCCAAAACATTTGAAAATAAACAAAATCATTCAAGAGACAAGTAGCCGCACTACCAGTCTGATATTTTTTATTTTTTAAAATTTTTATTATTAAAAAAATTTGGTTTGATATGATATTTTAAACTATGATTATTCATTTTGAGCGTTCAAAATCTATTAGAAAGCTTGTAATAAGGTCATGATAAATATGTTATGGATGAAGTCTAAATGCCAAAAATTATCTCGTAGGAAATATTGAACGCAAAATAAACCATAATTATTTAGTCCATTTCTTGTAGCCAATTTTGACTTGTTATTATGAACTCATCTTTTATCGATTTTCAATTTCAAAAGATGTATTTCAAAATTTGTCGTAAATACTTCGAAACGATAACAAAAATGTCACCTAATGAGTGAAGAAATATAGCTCATAAATAGGTTAAATAGGCAACACCAAAATAGAAATAAAAGAAAAAATACTTAATCTTTCAAATGTCACTTTTCAGTGTTCGTCACTTTCCTTTTTTTTTTCTTTTTCTTTTTTTTTTTTTTTTTTTTTTTCCCTTTTTTTGGTTTTTTTTTTTTTTTTTTTTTTTTGCCCTTTGAGTATTTCACAAAGCTAACGTTTTCACTTGCCTTACACATACCCTTACCAAATACTTGTAAGGTGGTTATATTGACACCACAATTATTATTTATAGCACCACATTTTATTTATATTTAAACTCTTCAATCTTTGACCATTGTAGCAATTATTTTCTTAACTTTTTTCAATCAAATTATTACCTTTAACATTCCATTAATTAGTATGCTCCATCTTTGATGATGATTTATATCAAAATATTTCATTTTCATGATTCGAAATGAGGGGAAAAAAAAATTTCACACCTTTTAATTATTATTATTTTAAAATATGATGGAAAAATAAGTTATACTACACCATTTGAATTTCGGATATTAAACTGTTATCAAATACAAAATATAACTAATGAAAAAGTTTGAGGATAAGAATGACATGAAAATCCGTTAGGGATATAAGTATTATAATGAACAAAGATTAAGAAATTTAAGTGCAATTAAAATGTACTGCAAAAAATAAAAAATTGTGGAGGCTATATAATTAGCCTTCTTGTAATACTTAATATTGTCCTGTTCTGCTAAATATTTTGTATAATTTGTCAAGATTTGATTCGAATTGATGTAATTATGCTATTGTAATCATCTGACACTAATGTTTTCACTGTGGAATGTAATTTGGTATGAAGTTATAGAATTTACATGTTTCAAGATGATTTTTGATCCGTCCTAAGTTCTTCATTTAATAGTTTCATGTGATGTAATTCGTAGATTTTGTTTGGAAAAAAAGAAGCAAAAATCATGCCTTTTGGTTTAGTTTCTGAATGGAACAAGTGTCGGAGAAGTAAATCACAAGATCAGATCAATCATTGTAAGATTCTTTTTCTGATGCTTTTACCCTGTAGAATTTAATCATCCTGTAAATTCCACCTTGTCACATTGATATTCCTACTGTATAAATTAATTTTATGTAAAATTGCCTTATACTCTCTGCAGCAAGTTGAGGGTGGATCATCTTAAATGTGCACGTGCCTTGCTTGTTTTACGATATTATTACTGCTCACGAGGATTGATATTGTGGTTTCTTATTTTGGAGAACACCTTGTTCTTTAGGGATATAACTAAAAACCTGCAGAATATTGGCAAACCTAATATAAGAATATGTTATATATTTATAGTATAAATATAAAATACGAAAGAAATAATCAAATTAGATGAAGTCAAGTGGTGGGAAATGTGACATTTGTGTGGGACGTCAAGGGTTCGGGTCACTTCCCACGCAATTATTAAAAAGGCTGTTGGGCTTTCTTGACTAAAATAAATTATTATTATTTATTTTCGAAATTATTTAATGGGTGGATCAAACAAGCCAGTATTTTCTGACCCTTTTTTGTAACAACCCACTACCACAATCATTAAAATACTCACTACTCACAGTTATTAATATTCTGCATTATTCTCTGGTCATATAGGAGACAGTTACTTCCAGTTTTGCCTATATAAACTCATGTCTTGGTTTGGAAAAGTGACAGATCAAAGAAAACGGAAAATCATTAGAAAAGAAACCTTATTTCTCATATTCTATATTTTTATACTCGATTCTTACATATATTCTGAAGTACCTTTGACAGTTCTCATAATCATTCGTGATTACTGCACAAGCGGTTTACGATCGTTGTATCCTGGGAGTGATTGTCCATGGAGGTCGCAGCAGTTATCAACAGACAAATTCATTTTAGGATATCGTGCTGTCATAAGACTCGATCGGACGATAAGTTTTATATTTCTACATTTTATTGTTCTGAACGTTACTACAGCTGATTATTTTTCCAACAGAATCCACCTGCAAAAAAGCACAATGCATCACCAGTTTTCACACTCAAAGAAATGGATGAAGTAACATGTTCTTTCAGCGATGAGAATCTGCTCAGGAAAGGCGATTTGGTCGATTTTATAGAGGTGCTCTATGGTCGAGAGAGAATCCTCAACTTTCCCATTCAAACGTCTTAACTAAATGTTTACACCCTTAAAATTCCTAATCCACTGCATTTATCAAGCATCACAATTACCTGTTTTGTATTGTAAGGTATTAGCAATCAACAAAATGAAGCTACCCTCCACATTCAGAGAAAGAAGGAAAGCGCAGATTTCGTGAAGAAGTTGATATGTTAGTAGATTGGATCATCTAAATCTAGTAAACTAGTAGGATATTGCAAAGATGGGAAACACGGATTTCTAGTTTATGAATATATGAAAAAAGGGAATCTGGAAGATCACTCAAATGGTTGGTTCATTAACATCTAATACATGTCTTTAATAATGTAGATTAAACAGCATTCGACAATATATCTAGTACTGCTATAATACTCGCCTCTTGATTGTCTTTCTTCTGAGTTTTAGGAATTGGAAGAGTAAAGATGGATTGGCCATTGAGGCTAAAAGTGGCTCTTGGAGCAGGAACTGGACTTGCATATCTCCATTCAAGTTCTGCTGTTGGAATTCCTATTGTTCATGACTTCAAATCGACCAACATTCTGCTCAACACAAACTGTGAATCAAAGGTAAAAGATTAACTTTCAAGATGATCTATCAATAAGAGAAAACTTGCTTAACAAGATAAATGGGATTTCCTTGAGAATGAACTCCATGAAGGTAGAGTTGAAATTAATATTGCAATGTTCTGCTGACTAATCACTTAAGCAGATATCGGATTTTGGGCTTGCGAAACTGATGCAAGAAGACCAGGAGACCTGGCAACAGTTGGTACTTTTGGCTACTTCGATCCATAATATACTTCGATATGCATCATTCTGTGCATAAATCTTCGAATAAGATGGAATAACTCAATGGCTTGTATGGTAAATTTGACTAGACAACACTTGACATACTAAAAAGGGACGTAAAAAATTCTAGTTCATTATTTAAT